ATTCCCCACTGACAGTTTCATTTCTGTCTGCGACTCAGCAGAGTCCCACTTCCCAGAGCCAGTTTCTGTTCCGATAAAGAACGTATCAGTTGTGCAGTGGGAACAAAGAACTCCCGGACTTCCCTAACATGAGACAGGCCTTTTTCTTACCCATAATAGGAACGTGCATGTGATATAGGCTAGCAAGGGCCCACAGTCACCGAGGAACCAAGGCAGATGGGACGCCCATCTCCATACTCTTGTCTGAACAGAGTGTGGGGAGCTACACACTGGCTGTGAAATCTTCCATCTGGAATCCACATGCCACTGCCATTAGTGCCTCCTTCTTGAAGCTCGCCACATGGCCGAGGCCAGGTTCGGCAGTGGATGGCAAGTGTGCCTTACTCTGTTGTGTCCAGAAGAGCTGGGTAAGTGACAAGCCCCTAGGACCTGTTCCCAGGGTTCTGAGTGGGCCGCAGGACTCAGCGTGTGCAGAGCTGTGTACTGACACTACAGTGGAGTTCCTGGTTCTCACATGCATCGCTGTCTCTTTGTTCCTGTTGGCATTCCTATCTCCATGCTCCCTCCCAAGTTCTTTTCTGACCAAATGTTAGTATGGTTTTCAGACTTCAAAATGGAACTTGCAGTATATACAGGAAAGCACACAGATGGTGCGTGCATGGCCTGCTGGATGATCGCCGAGTGAGCAGAAAAGTGCACCAACCTCCCAGCCCCCCCCCCCCATCTTGCCCAGGAGCTCCCCGGCCCCTCCCTGGCTCCCTGCTAGTCACCTGCTCCTTGTGATGCTCCCGGACCTCCAGCACCATGCTGTGGTTGGGATTCCACATGGATTCTTTCAGCTGCTGTCTAAGAAGCAGGCAGGGGAACGCCTCTGTCTCAGCAGACAGGAGCATAAAAGCCGATCCTGTGTGCTGCTCGTCTCAGGCCGGCCCTTCTGGTGATGTGTGTGTGTGCAGCAGGATTCGGCGTGGCCGAGCTTCCTGAACTTGGAGACACTCGGCTCGGTGAGTGAATGTTGTCTCTATTGCCTGCTTATTTAAGCATATCCAGTTATTTCTTAACAGGGCAGACAAGACTGCAGTCAGATCGTTGAGGGATAGCTGACCCGCCCAGCTGCCCCATGGTCTCCTAGGCAAGCTCTGCACAGCACTGAGCTGCCTGGCACTGCAGCGGGCAAAGCAGCACCTGCCAGTCTGAGTCTGAGCTGGGGCGCTCCCTCTCCATACAGCCGCACCTTCCAGGCAGTTCTCAGGCTGCGTAAACTGGGGCTTTCTGGATTGGGGAACAAAGAACAGCCGTACAGCTTATTTTGGCTCCAATACAAGACTGGGAATTGGTCCTAGAAATAGGAATGTCTTCAGCAAGTTGCATGACCTGAAAATTAGGGGTCTATTTCCCCCACTCTGGCTCTAGGGTCTTAAAGAAGAGGCAGCGGGCAGCCAGTTTTCTACAATGCCAGCGCCTTCCCAGTGTCCCCTGAGTCAGACATTTCTGTACAAGAATGTACCCATAAACATTTTGCTTTCTGGGGCTGGCATTGCACAGCAGGTTAAGCCACTGCCTGTGATACTGGCACCCCATATGAGCTCCAGTTCATTCAATTTGTAAAAAAATTTGGCTTTGACATATTTATTTATTTGAAAGGCAGAGTTAGGGAGAGATGGAGATCTTCCATCTACTAGTTCAGTTCCCCAGATGGCTGCAATGGCTGGTGCTGGACCAGGTCAAGCTAGGAGCTGGAACTCCATCTGGGTCTCCCAGTAGGTGGCAGTGGCTTGGGCCAGCATCCACTGCTTTCCCAGGTGTATTAGCTGACACTTGAGCCGGCATTCTTAAGGGATGCCAGTGTTGCAGGCAGCGGCTTAACCTGTTAATGCTACAATGCTGGCTCCAAGCACCAGCTCTTGAATCCTGGCTGCTCTACTTCTGATTCAGTTTCCTGCTAATGTGCCTGAGAAAGTGGTGCAGTGTGGCTCAAGAACTTGGCTCCTACCACCCATGTGGGAGACCCAGAGGGACTCCCAGGCTTCTAACTTCAGCCTGCCCCAGGCCCCACTACTGTGGCCATTTGGAGAGTGAATCAGCGGATGCAAGATCAATGACTCACTCTCTCTCGGACTCTGCCTTACAAATAAATCTTTCAGAAAAAAAGTTTTGCTTTCCAACATAACTGCAAAATCCTTGCCAGAATTCAGGATATGAATGTGGAAGATACATGAAAAAATCCAACTGTGTCTTTCATACTCAAAGAACTAAGATGGTGAGACTCAAATTGCACTCCATAGGAAACAGCCAGTGACTCTAGTGGGAGGGAGCTTGGAACACTGTGGCCAGGGCGACAGCCACATCCTTTTGTGGTCATAAAATAGACTTTCGATGTATTTTTAAAATCAGTTGGTTTCTAAATTACAGCCATGGTGAGTAAGAGCAGAGTAAACATATGATTAGTGATTTCCTTATGTAGTAAGTAGCATTAAATAGATTCTGGCTAAGGCCCAGGGTCTAAAATAATTGTGCTTTTAGTTAAAAAAAAAAAATAGAAAACTGCCTTTGTTCCAAAGCCAGGGCAGTGGCTCACGACCACCCTCCCAAGCAGTAACGGCTCAGCTGCGTGAGGAAGTGGGGAGAAAAAGAGGAACTTTGGAAAACAAACTCTAAGCTGTCTGCCTGCCTGGATTTCATCATATTATCCCGAGACCCTGCCTCCTTGTGTCCCCACAAGCACAGAAAAATGGATCTGTGACAGCCACGGCGCTTGGCTTTCTAGAAACGCCTCCTTCAGGAGATGCACACTTGCTGCTCCTCATGGACAAATGGCAACCCCAAAGGCTGTGGTGTCTGGGTCCACAGGGAGGACAGCCCCTTGCTGTGTCAAAGCTGAAACGTGTTGCTTTTGCATGGCTCCAGGCAGCTGCCCTGTTTCTTTGTAGCAGGGGGTGTGTGTGGGGTCTCCTACTTCAGGCTCCCCCCTGCAGAAAGGAACCATCAGGGTTTCAAGAGAGGTGCTGAGGAGCTGCTCTTTACTTCCTTGCAGGGAAAAACAGCCGTTTCCTGTCTGCAAGGTTTACCACCTGTCGGCAGGATCTCAGGACGACAAGTCAGGGATAAGCTGTTCTGACAGCAGACAGGAGAGGGCGCTATATCATGCTGGGGAGCAGCCTAGGCAGTGTGTTCTCCGTAGGCTTCTGCAGAATCACGCGCCCAGCTCCTGTGGTGACAGGTTACCACTTTGGTCTTAATGGTAGCAGAACAAGCTGTCTCAGTCTCCACTTTGTTCTCTTCATGGATTCAGACGGATTCCAGTTTTGTAGCTGCTCAATTTCCAGGGCAAGGGTTTCTGGGAAATCGCCTGGCTGTCATGCAAACACGTAGCCTCCCTAACTTCACTCTGGGAAAAAGTCCGGAATTCCTGGCTCTCTGCTGGCCTCACTTGGGGACCTTGCCTGAGCCGTCTGTCACAAATCCCTTTACAGAATTTTATCTCAAAACTGCAGCAAGGGGGTTAATCGGGCTGGTTTACACAGTGTGCCAACATCCCGAGACAGAAAGTCTTCCAGGGGCCCCGTGTTGTGACAGCAAATGGGGCACACGCCAGCGCACACTCCCCAGGGGCTGGATCCATACTGTATGAGACCTGGCCCAAAGATAAAACAAGCACTCATTTGTCAAAATACAGCCCGAGAAATTTCAAAGCATGCAGAGGTAGGAACTGATTTCCCATGCATTTATATAATTAATGCCCTTGTTTTTTCTGGTGGAACCAAGAAATTTCCCACCTGAGATTTTTGTGCTCAAGAGGCATGTTTCGCCATTAAGGGGCACATAACACATGCCTCCACTTCTCTTCCCACATGCACACTTTCCCGGTTTAATTTACTGTGGGATTGGGTTAATTTTTAGTTCAGGTAGTTTTTCAAATCCAAGTCCCAGAGCTGGCAGATCTGTCTCGGGAGGGAACGACTGATGAGCCAGGTGCTGTGACCTCTCTTTGAGGTTCATGGAAAAGGATGGTCTTTGTGTCCCAGAGGCCCCAGATGCGGTGCTGGGAGGGTGGTCAGTTACCGGCTCACCAGTACTGCTTTCAGCCAAGCTCATTTTGAGCAGACGTGAACCTGCCACCGGGTGACCAGCGTTATGGTGACACACACGTCTACTCTTTGCTGAGCATGAAGTTTATTTCCTTCCTCTAAAATTAGAGAAGGAAGGGATATTTAAGGAGAAACCTCGTTGCTAGTTTTGCAGTGCACCTGGCTCTCACACATGGCCTTTGGTTAAACTTCGCTGCCAGCAATGGTGGCCAAAATACCCAGTCGGAATGTTGGTTTCCATGCTGCTTTTCACACATTTATTTTTATTTGAAGGAGACAGAGCCACCCCCCAGATGCTGACAACAGCTGGCGCTAGGCCAGGCGTCTGGAACTCAATGTGGGTAGCAGGGATCCCAGCACTTCTGCCTCACCAGCTGTCTCCCAAGGTACAAGGTACGCATTGGTAGGAAGCTGCATCAGAGGCAGACTTGCATCCAGGGACTGGTATGTAATGTGGGGTCCCAAGCAGCGTCCTAACAGCTGTGCCGCATGCCTGCCCCACTGCGCTGCTTCATTTTAACGAGATGGTTCCAGTTCTTTAAACAGGACTCGGAAACACGAACCATCTGACCAGCATGCTGATATTTTGTAGAAAGTACCCAGCTTCATGCTGCCCTTTTCTGTCACATTTCAAACTGTCAGCCAATGGGTGTGCCCAAAATTGGTATCCTGGACTGGCACTTCTGCTCCTAAAAAGCATGACGTCAGTGCTCCCCTGGGAGATGACCTGTCTATCTAGTAAGGTCTTAATTCTCAGCCCCCGACACACAGCTCGGTTCAGCAGCCACACTGTGGAAATGGAAAAGCATCTCAGCCCAGCTGTGTTCCAGCCCCTCCCCTCCTGCTCGCCTGGTATCGGCGCTCACTGCTGCCGGGCTGCCGGCTGCCAGAGATCAGGCACGGGCCAGCAAAGGGGCTTCAGCAAGTTTTATTTGGAAAATATGGCAAGAGTCTAAGGCACTTCAAACATTTAAATACATACAGAACCAAAGTCCATGTGACATGGTATAAAGAAATGTATAAATACAGAGACCTACACCGCGCTGCTCTGGCAACTCAGAGCCAACTCTGATGCAATTCAGCATTTGTCATGAGATACTGCGTTTATTAATAAAAATATGGTCACGTTACAGGTACTTCTTCATGACTTGTGTTACTATGAAATATAAAATTGAAAATACTGTGTCAATGTCATATATAGCTTTTATATAAAAAGTCACAGAATACCTCCACCTCGATAAAACCGACTGAGAACATTTCCTTTTGTAAATTTTATTTTCGAAGCAGAAACTACCAGCGCCGACCCGCAGTATGGATGATCCACGTCATCTCAAGTTCCTTAGTTCAAAATCATGAAGGCAAAAGCAGAGTCCCCCAGTTCATGCTGGAACGGCATTGCTGAAGAGCCTCGCAGCGGCTGCACAGTTAGTAAGTATAAATATTGGTGGAGAACTTCCAGGAGAACCTGCCACATCTCTGCAGAGGGGAGTGGGGAGAGAAGGAAGGGAAGTCGCCCATCCAGGTTACCGTACGTAACAGAGCAGACACTGAGCAGCAACAGAGCGCGGCCGTGTGACCTGCACCGAGAGAGGGCGGCCTCCGGCGTGCTGCGAAAGCTTCCGTCTCCTCCTTCAGCTTCACGCTTCCGGGTGCTGGTGAGCTCAGGCACAAGACACGTACATTCAGAATCTGTCACCCCAACAGGACGATTAGCAGCTTACTGGTGGCATGGAAGTGGAGGGCTTTTTGCATGTAATCAGTCAAATGAGCCGCGGTGGGCGGGGCCCGGAGACGTCTTCCTTCCAAGCCTGGGGGTGCCCTGGAGACCAGGAAAGGAAAACAACCGGAGGTTAATAAACGACCTCAGATGTCACTTGGGATGCAGGCACTGCATGCGTGCACTACTGCTGATGGCTACCCATGAGCCACAGTCAAGGACAGAGGTCCACCCGCAGCAGGGCCCGTCAGAGCCTGGGAAGTGCTGTTTGTGCTGAGTGAACTCTGAGTCTACAGGGTGCCCACTGCGTGCGCGTAAGGAGCAACACCAGGAACAGGCTGCCCCGTATCCCTGGGCTCAGCGTGTGTCCTGTGAGTAACCTCACAGAGGAGAAGCGGGCGTGGGAGGAGGTTCAGGCATCTGACTTTCGAACACAAGTGAGCCCACCCTCAGCTCTCCTGGCCTCCGGGGCGGGGCTGACAGGATGCACTCTTAAGCTCCAGACTGAAACTTCCATTTTCAGCACCAACATAAAACCTGCGTCTCCTGCCAACTCCCCGAGGCAGGGGGCCCGCTGGCCTGGTGCACTTCCGCCTAGTTCCAAGGGCCAGGTGCACAACACTGACCGGAGACTGGGCCTTGGCGAAGTTGACATGGGCATAGAGAAGAACGGCGATGTCCTTGTGGCCTGCTTCCAGGGCGATGGAGAGCGCGGTGCTGCCATCCTTAGGACGGAAAGAACAAGTCAGGGTGGGCTGGTCAAACGGGCACCCAGCCAGAAGGTGACACCGCGCAGCCCTCCACAGGGGGGCCGGCAGATCTCCAGAGAGGGGGTCTGAGGGGCCAAGCCCCTGGGTCCTCAGTGATGTGGCTGCACGTGACAAGGGTGTCCTCGGCCATCCCGCGCACCAGAAGGGGCGGTGGGAAACGATGGGGTGGAAGCGTACATTCATGTGCTTTCCTTCTTTAATTACAGAGCGCCAGGCAAGTACCGTGCTGTGGGAATGAAGAACCTGCCCTTGACCAAGGACCTCTTCCCCTTGCTCTTGGAGACTGAGCTGCGACCCTGTGGCCCTGACTGCCTCTGCTGCCTGCTACAGGGACGCGTACGTAAGTGCTAGCGCGGCACGTGGCTCGCATCCCTGTAACCTGCAATATATGGGGAGAAACACTGAGCCCTTTACTGAAACTGCTTCTGAGGCACACAAACGGGCAGGGAGTCACATGGATGTAAAGGAACACTGAGGCCGCAGGCGGCCTGGGACAGATCTACCGCCATCTGTGCAGCGCGAGACCCCATGCCACGAGCAGCGGGAGGTGGCTCGAACCACACTGTCCTCTCCCACACTGAATTCTGGGAGCTGCTTTGCCTCTGGAGGCCCACAGATGGGGGCCTTTCCGGGGAAGAAGTTGGCAAATGATCTGGGGCAGCCAGGTTATCTGTTAGCCACTGTGGCTCTGTGACCGCTTGGTCTGCTATGTCTAAGCCGGCCTGTGGCAAGAGAGAGGTAAAAGCAAACATGCAAAGACCAAAACTCATCTGGCACTCCCGTTCCCTCCAGGGCCCAGTGCTCTGTCCCCTGGGGGCGGGGCTGCCAGGAACTCCCTTGGCTGGGTAGGGCCCAGCAGGAGGTTTTCCCCATTACCTCAGCCAGGCTTAAGCTGTGGTGCAAACCTGTGGACCACAGAGATAAACTTTCAAAAACAACCCGCCTGCTCCTGTGCTCTCTGCCTCTGCGCACAAAGCCTGGACACACGCAGAGGGGTCTTTTTCTGAACGTTTCCTAGTCAAGGGGTGATCTGAGAGCAGAGACCCCTCGGTGACCGCATGCCGCCGCCCAGCACCTGCATTTCTAAACAGACCAGTGACCTGCTTCTCTTGCCCCCGCAGACTCAAGCCACTCTGCTAATGCACCTGGGCAAGCAGCAGATGATGGTCCAAGTATTTGGGACCCTGCTACCCACAGTGGAGACCTGGACAAAGCTGCTGGCTTTGGCCTGGCCTGGCCCTATTGCAGCCATTCATGGAGTGAACCAGCAGAGGGGACAGTTCGATGTCACTTGGTCTTTCAAATTTGAAAGGTACCTTCTCTGAATCTGAGAACCACACTATTAAAAGGTACTAAACTATAAGTGACCTTTTATAGCTTTTAGGGTGAGGTCTGTTTCTCTCCCTGCCTTTGGCCTTGGCCCATGGGCGGGCTCCACTACACACAATGAAGGTGGCCGGCATGGGAAGACTGCTCCCCCAGGAGCCAGAGGCAGCTGTGCTCCCCTCCCCCGGCCGACACTGGTGGCTTACGTTGTCCTCCAGGTGCCCGTTGCAGCCCGGCTGGGCCAGGAGCAGCTTGACGATCTCCACGTGCCCGTGCTCGCTGGCACACATCAGGGCTGTGGAGCCCTCGTCGTCCTGGATGTTGACATCAGCCCCACAGGCCAGCAGGCCCTTGACCATGTCTATCCGCCCATGACTGACGGCCAGCATAAGGGCCGTCTGCCCCGCCTGTGGAAGAACGAACGCAGCCATGAGACACGCTGTGGGCAGACAGGAGCGTGATGACAGAGGGGAAACGGGACCTGGGATGATTTGGGGTGGGCTGGGGGCAGGCTGCAAGAAACCTGCTTCCTGAGAGCTACGGAAGATCATCGAGTGTACACATTAGGCCAAGGACTGGTCTCTTCTCAACAAGGGCTAGAGAGCTGAGAAGGCATTTGGAAGTCAAGCTGGGAGCAGCTGGCACTGGTGTAGGTCGGGGACACTCCTGTTTCCTTGCCAGCTCTACAGAAAACACGCCCTTATCTTGCTGGCGTGTTTGGTCAGCTGGGACCACCAGGCGGCACACAGACTCGGGGTGGGCCAGCCAGTACACAGTGATGCCTGTGCATGGTTGCAACAAGCCCGCGTGCAGCACAAACCCCGGACGCAAGCTCGCCCACCTGACTGGCTTTGGCGTTGACGTCCCCGCAGCCGAACAGCTCCTCCACGACTTGCATGTCCTTCTCCGCCTCCACCGCGGCAAGGGCTGCCAGCATGATGGGCGTGTAGCCCGCCTTGTTCTGGTGATCCACGTTGCACACATCTGCAAGAAACGGTTCCTTCAGGGAGAGGCCAGTGAAGCGGCACCAGGTGGTCAGAGACCAAGAATGGTTGGAGGTGGAACTGTGGTACAGTGCATAACGCTGTTGCCTGCAATGCTGGCATCTGCTATGGGTGCCAGTTTATGCCCCGTCTATTCCACTTGGAATCCAGCTCCCTGCTCTTGTGCCTGGGAAAAGCAGCAGAAGATGGCCCAAGTGGTTGGGCCCCTACACCTGTATGGGAGACCTGGAAGAAGCTCCTGGCTTTGGCCTGCCCCAGCCCCAGTCTTGCTGTGATCTGCGGAGTTAAACACCAGATGGAAGGCGTCTCTCTCTCACGTTTTCAAATCAATCAAAGCGAATAAGTTGGAAGGAAGTGGGAGCGTTTTTAAGGAAGTGTGTTTTTGCTGAACAACAGAATTACTTCATAGTTCCCAAGGTCTGAAAGTGAGAGAATTTCTCCAGCTGTCTTGTTACAACTCAGGGTGGGAATGCAACAGCTGGGAGCTCTGGGAGGTTGTCCTGAGTACCGGCTGCTTCAGAGAATTGACAGGATTACAGATGCTACACATGCAGCAGTGTTGACGAAATGGCTGTTAGGGAGTGGGGAAGACAGACGGAGCCACATGCAAAAGGTTCGGCAAGGCTGAGAGCCAGAGACGCTGTGTGTGTGGTTCCACACTTCTGCAAACACTACTCAGTTCTCAGGCCCAGTGCCCTGTGCTGAGAGAGTGGGAGTGGCAGAAGCACAGTCCAATGCCATTTGTGGAGTGAACCAGCAGATGGAAATGCATGCTCTCTAACTCTACCATTCAAATACTTAAAAACAAAAGTCCTTTTTTAGTAGCTTCTGATGAAAAGCCAGCAATGGTGACTGCCTGGAAGCAGCTTTCTTAAGTGACTAAGAATTAACTCGGAATGTTTAGGATGTTTCTATCAATAAAGAGCAAGAAGAGAAAGTCACAGGAAAACACTCTTTGAGGTTCCACACAGCTCTGCGATGGCGTTCACAGAAGTACACACGTCTGCATAGGAAAGGCTGCGTGCAGAGAAGTGGCTGAGCACGAGTGCTCTCCCGGGCGCCACTGATGCCGACACACCCTACGTTCACGTTGGACGGAGCCAGAATTTTCACCTACTATCGTCAGCAGTAAAAAATGCCGCGGATGAGGCAATGAACAAAACCATTCCGTGACAGAATCCCATTCCCCTTGCCTGGATGGTGCCTCCACCCCGATTTTCCCACATCCTAAGCTTTTCTTCTCAGGAGTAGTCCTTCCTGAGACCTGGCCTTCAGCCTCCCTGGGTATCATGCAGTTCTCTGTGTCATTCCAACTGTGGACAACACCGTCACCAGCTCTGTTCCTGGTCGGGACCAGGCTGGAACTGCCCTCGCCTACAAGGAAGCCCCTAAAGGGGCAAACTGAGAAGAGGAGGGAAGAGGATTTCCTCACTGAGTTAATCCAACATCACCACAGCAGAGTAGAAGTCACTCAGTGGGCTCAGGAGATGGGAGAGGAACAGCGGGCAGTTCTACCACATACGCTAACGGGGCATCGGAATGGAGAGTCACTGGTGCAAGCAGACCGAGCAGCTGACTTCCTACCAGTCACACCCTTGACAAAGGGCTTCAGACATGGCAGTGATGGGGAGACTGTCCTCTGCTCATGTTATTACAGTTCGGACAGGACACCAACACTCCCGGTGCTGTGGTGCTTCCTCGGGGACCATGCTGGACTGTGGCTTTGCTCATCTTGAGTGGCCAGGCACTGCTGCAAGACCACGGCATGCTGGGCTGGGAGAGGACCACACGGGAGGAAGCTAGGCCTCTGGCCCACCAACCCCACTCGGCAGACCGGCGTCAGGAAGGAGAATGCAACTCCTAGGACTATGCTACACTTGAAGTCGGCCACTGTGCAGGGGGCATGTGCTCCAGACCTCCTCCTGAAGGGGACCTGCACTGCGTGTCACCCGTTTTGTTCCCGAGGGGACAGCCAACGCACCTGCTTCCAAGAGCAGCTTCACGATCTCGAAGTTGGAGTGGGACACGCTGTAGTGCAGGGCCGTGTTGCCGTTGCCGTCTGCCATGTTGATGACGTAGCGCAGCACTTCCGGGGAGATGGCGGCAAAGGCCGCGATGTAGTCGCCCACCATGGCCGGGACGGCCGACTTCTGGCTGGACACGCGGAACCACTCGTGCTGGAGGGTGTTCAGACAGAACCGCTGCCAAAACACCGAGTAGGCGTTAGTGCTGCTATTTATAGCCCTTTCTGAGACCTCGCTCACAGTCCAGAAAGCGGGCCTTTTATAGTCAAAGTAAAGGCTGTCAGAATCCGCTCTCACAAACCGCCCAGAGCCCTTGGCTCACTCTCAAAAACACCAAATTGGGACATCCATCCTGAGCTGAAGCCACGTCCAGTTTAGTCTAATATCTGTACGGGAGGCCGCACTGCACTGTCCCAGAGCATTGGGGCTGCAGTCCCCCCACCAAGGTTCCAGCTGGGCCCTGCCACATAGAAAACATGGGATCTCGGGGAAATTCTGATTCTTGCCGCTTTCAAGTCAGAGAAGTGGGAATAATGTCTTTCCTTCACAGTGTTTGTAAAGAGAATAAAATGTTTAGTTAGCCCTGGCTTGATTTCTGGAGCTCTTTATTATGTAGATGTGCCGACCTTCCCATTTTCATAGAAATCAGGAAGGAATTAGAGTGCTCATGAGGCTCACCGGCACCACTCTGACCTCCCTGGGCTGCTGGCACACAGAAGTGGCACTTGCTTCACGGATGGTCCGGTCAACCTTGCACAACGTGAAGTTCAGTACACACTGGGCACAGGCAGCCCGGCTGACGGAGATGTCTCCAAAGCTTGCTTCATGGGCTGCCTTTTATAGACCTTTAGCATTCTCTCGTCCTTTATTTGCTCTTTCAAAGTGTAAACATGTATCAAAGTGTGGCAAGCCCATCTTCAACACATCAGAACCCACAATGTCTTTGTTCTACAGAGAAGGGAGGGGGTGAGGTCACAGAACTTCCATCTTTTTATCTCCCTGGTACTGGTGATTACACCCACTCAGTCATAGTTTGGGTCACTCAAAAAGGGTTCTGCTGAGCAAAAAATGAGTCTGATTCCTTCCTTCTGCTTAGTCTTTCACACAGTTTTGTTGCTTCAGCCTTACCATACAGAAAGAAGAGAAACGACAACCTCCAGCGGTCTTAACTCTGCTAAGCTGCGTCATCTGGTCCAGGCACTGGAACCACCCCACTGTCCATACTTCACAGCATAATACTTTTTTCCTTGTCTTTTTTTAAACTTTTTATTTAATAAATGTAAATTTACAATGTACAACTTTTGCATTGTTGTGGCTTTCCCCCCCTCCACAGCCCTCCCATCCCACTCTTCATCAAGATTCATTCTCAATTATCGTTATATACAGAAGATCAACTTAGTATATACTAAGCAAAGATTTCAACAGGCTGCACCCACACACCCACACAAGATATAGAGTACTGTTCGACTAGTAGTGTTGTCGTTAACTCTCATAGTGCAACACATTAAGGACAGAGATCCTACATGGGGAGCAGGTGCACAGTGACTCCTGTTGTTGATTTAACAACTGACACTCTTATTTATGACGTCAGTGATCACCCGAGGCTCTTGCCATGAATTGCCAAGGCTATGGAAGCCCCTTGAGTTCACCAACTCTGAACTTATTTAGTCAAGGCCATATCACAGTGGAAGTTTTTTCCTCCTTTCTGAGAAAGGTGCCTCCTCCTTTGATGGCCCATTCTTTCTGCTGGGATCTTGTTCACCGAGATCTTTCATTCAGGTCGTTTTTGCCACAGTGTCTTGGCTTTCCATGCCTGTGAGACTCTCATGGACCTTTTAGTCAGATCCGAATGCCCCAAGGGTTGATTCTGATTGATTCTGAGGCCAGAGTGCTGTTTAGGGCATTTGCTTTTCTACGAGTCTGCTGTGTGTCCTGCTTCCCCTGCTTCCCCCACACGGTTCATTCTCTCCCTTTTAGTTCTGTCCATTATTTGCAGACACTGGTCTTATTTGCACAGCACAATACTTTAAAAACCTTTACAACCAGGCCTGGTGTTGTGGTGTAGTATAGGTAAAGCTACCACCTGCAACACGGCATCCCAACTGGGCACCAGTTCGAGTCCCAGCTACTCCACTTCTGATCCAGCCCCCTGCTAATGCACCTGGGAAAGAAGTGGAAGACAGCCCAAGTCCATGGGCCCCTGCAACCATGTGGGAGACCCAGAAGCAGCACCAGGCTCCTGGCTTCGGCCTGGCACAGCCCTGGTCCAGGCTGTTGCACCCCTTTAGAGGAGTTCTCCGTGACTCTGACTTCTAAGTAACTAAATAAGAAAAGAAGAAGAACCTTTGCATTGAGGAATTCAATTAACAGAATCTGTAGCAAGCACGGAGTGTGTACGTGTTACACTGACACCATACTTGGCAATTTGGAGATGTAAAAAATGTAATAACATCCCTTCTGAATGAAAAAATTTTTTATTGTGGCTATGAAATCCTGTGTCCTAAAGCTCCAATTTCAGATGCAGGTTAACCTTAGTGGGAAAGAGTGAAATGCATCGAATTTCACGGCTTTACTGTTTGTGACCAGGGTATAGCCCAAACCAAGCATTTGGCTCGTAGTGATGAATTTCAACATGCAGTTCTGTTTCCCCTCAACCAGGAGTTTTATTTGGTGCTTCCTGCTGTATATGTCACTGCCATGTTCCTTTTTCAGTACACTAATTCAATGTCAAGATTTAGCTATTTCTCATGAATCTAAGTTTCTACAATAGTAAAAAGTATGACAGGACACCACAATTTTTAAGAAAGGATGCCACATCATAAGCATATATTTAACCAGAAAAAAGAGTGGACTGGCCCTCCAGCTAAGTAGCATCTAGTCCCAGCACTGACCAGCAGCTGCTGCTGCACAGACACAGGTGCTCTTTCAGGACTCGATGAGAGCAGGGCGGGAGAGCACAATGCTGTGACAGCCATCACTAGTACATTTCAACACACTACACTGAAGCCGCGGCCTTCACATTATAAAATTAGGTAATCTTCAGGGGCCAGTGTTGCGGTGTAATGGGTTAAGCTGCTGTCTGCAATGCTGGCATCCCCTATGGGCACTGGCTTAAGTCCTGGCTGTTCCACTTCCAATTTAGCTCCCTGCTAACACACCTGAGAGAGTAGCTAAAGCTGGCTCAAGTATTTAGGCCCCTGCACCCACGTGAAAGACCAGGATGAAGCTCCTGGCTGGGCCCTGCCATTGTAGCCATTTGGGGAGTGAACCAGTGGAAGGAAGATCGATCTCTTCTTCTCCCTTTCAAATCAATATTTTAAAACAAAACAAAAAAACTAGGTAATTTCCAAGGTTACACAATTCCTTCTCTTGCTTTTAGTCCTAACATCTTGATTCTATACTTCTAGTAACTTTGTCAGCATCTACTGTTTTCTCCAGCTGTCAGCATTTTATTCAGCATAAAATATTATAAATCTGGTGACATGCACAGACTGACATGCACATTCCTATCTAAATTAACAAGAAGCTACATTTTCACAATGTACTAAAGACATTGCTATCCCCTGGAGGGTTGGTCAGGCCTAGAAAAGAACCTGCACATCAAAACAAACAGGAGAAAGTGACAGTGGTGCGAGTGGTGGGAGATGAACACTGTTATGGAGGTACTTATGTATCCTGTATTATGCCATTCACTTCTGCTAAAGCAACCAAAACGTCCATGCTACTGGCTTCTCAACCTCTCAAACTGTGAAATGACAAGTGCAGTCACTTTTTTGCTTAAAAACCCTGGCTGCCTGCATTCCACATCCAAACGTAATATGCAGTTTCATAATCAAGAGGAATGCTGACCTCAGCCCGGATGGGTTTCTTTTAAACACACATGTTAAGCAGAAAAACAGGATGCTGCTCCTTGGATCACAAGTTTCTGTGAACAAAAGTGGAACGTGCAGGAAAAAGGCGCGTGCCGACACTGAACCTTCACTTCTGTCTGCGGGAGTCTACCTCACAGATGCCTCCGTCCCCCGAGAAGTCCAGGGGCAGGTAAAGGACATCCAAGGCCACACCCGACGGGAATGCTCCCAGTGCATCCAGGGGGCCAGGCAGTATAGCACGCGTGCCAGGAGTCATTCAGGGGGAGGTGTGCAAGCAACAGTGGGTGGGGGCAGGTCCAAGCTGGCTGCCATGGTGGTGCCCACATAGGAAATTTGTACAAGCTGGGACAGGGTCTGCTGGTTACTCACCATATCTTTGCTGGTCAGAGCCTTGGGGTCATTGATATTATTCTTGAGTAAGTTGCAAGCAGACAACATCTTTTCACTTAATTCATACCTAAAAGGGGGAGGCAAGCAAGCTCATGACTGGCCACAAAAGCAAAGTTGTTTCTATTCAGTCCCTACGCCCTGTCCAAGGACAAGTGTCCACGCAGCAGCACAGGCAGGTCACGGCAATACTCGGCGCTCAGAGTTGGCATAGCTGCCCACAGGCAACCGAGGACCGATGCTGCTCTAGCCCGCCAGTGCCTGCAGCCAGAGCTCAAGGTCTTCTCATGAGGGAAACTTTGAGCTTCCACAGTCTGGCCTTTATGACCTGATGGAATGATGTTTTTTTTTTTTTGTTTTTTGTTTTTTTTTGCTCCAAGTTCTGAAAAATGTTCTTACTCTTAACGGGGGTGAAGAGGTACAAATTACCAGAGATCCATTAGGCTGGTGAATTCATCACAGATCTGAACCCAAGCTGGCGCTTCTTTAACCCGTGTGACAAAGATAGGTAAGCATTTGAGAACACTTGGAAATACACTTACCTTGTGTTTAATGTAAAGTTTCATTTGCCAAATTAGATAAGTTTTCTGAAATGTTCTATTTGTATCTCTCACAGTGGAAAACCACAGAAGTGTCCATCTTTTCTATTCTCGCTCCTGTTTTCTAAGTATCACATCCACTTACGACGTTGTTAGGTTCATGTTCTCAGCCAACCAGAGTGTTTGATATTTTATTTCAACTGCTGTTGATGATACCCTCCCAAATCTATTCGTGCAGTGTTGTCAGTACTCAGTGAGCAAGACAGTACAGCCAGCTGACTGACACACATCACCTTTACAGTAACCGTGACCACTGGTAAAGGCCACACCCCTGTTCCTCACACACACAGTGGTCCTGCAATAAAATGTACACAATGGCTCAAGATGAAATGTGAAATTAAAAACTATGTTAGCCACCAAAAAACTCAAGTATTTTTCTAAATATAAGCAAGGTGTTCAAATGATGGCAGCTTCAAGGGATGGTAGCTTGAGGAAACAAAGGGGACTAGATAATAAGCCATTCTCTTTGCTACCACAAGAGGGAGGAGTTACGAGGCTCTGTACTTCTATTTATTAGTATCCCAACGAGATGTGTGTACAGGTTAGACCAGACACAACTGCAAGGCCTCTGAGCTGGACAACTGCACTGCCGAGGTACAATACACGTGGGAGCGGGCGGGGAGGGAAGGGGAGTGTACCACACCTCTCTCTGATTTCCACCTTCTCAGGTTCACATTCTTGAACCTGCATTTCATCTTCCACCCTGGCAGACTTGAAACCTTCAACATTAACTGCATGGTGCCCTTCGGCCATTCCCCGAGTGTCTTCCTCCTTCTCTTCCTCCTCCTCTTCTTCAGGAGGATACTCAAGGGCATCACACTCGTCATCTGACTCGGAAGAGGAGCTTTCATCTGAGCTGGAATCATCACTTGAAGTTGTCTCATACCTAGGTGGCAATTGGGAGTTCAGGAGATGCAAAGTGTGCCCATACAGACCCAGTGACAGAGCTTTCTAGGAGGGAAGAACTGCCTACTGAATCTAGAAACTTCACCAGACCCTCTACTTGGAAGTTCAAAGTTAGGTCTTTTTAAGGGCCCAGTGGTTTGGGACAGATTCTGATTTAAGAGAGACAACCTGGGTTGCCACCAGGCATCACATACTACTTATTAAAAAAATAATTACAGCACCTCTACCTTGGTTTAAATCAAGAGGACATTTACTTCATGGAAACCAGATCTGAAGTTGTTCATTTTAAATCTTTCCCCATTTTTCCCTATTTTGCACCATTCATTCATCATGTTCAAGGTGAACAAACCCAAGAAGTAACCAGTAGTTCATCTGGTTAATGCCCTCCACAATCTCCTGGGTCATTATCACCTAATAAAACTTTGAAGACTTGGAAAACAGGCACCATGACATTATGCCTTGGTGGTGTGCTTTACTATAAATATATCTGAATTATTTCTGCACTATTGTTTTCTGGCTGAGGCCATGTAGTAATTGATTAATAAGTTAGCATTTAATTGTAGGAGGACAAACAGGCTTAACCATTTCCCTGGGCCAACTGGAAGAGGAAGAACAAACAACTAATAAACATCCTGTTGAGAAAGCAAAGGGCTGACGGCATGGCCAGGTGACTCTTCAGGTGAGAGGCCCTGCACTTTTGTTTGCAGTCTTGCGCAGGCTAGGCAAGCAGCCCTCTCTGCATGTGGATGACTGCCACAGGCCCATGGAGTGATGCTCCCGGTCTCTTTCTGCTCATTGGCAAGTTCTAACATAGATAAGTACAAGTTGTCCAACAGAGCGCAGGAATCCTGCTCCCTTTTTGCTGAAGACTATGTTTTTCAGGTCAGAGGTGAGATGTCAACTGCTCTGTGTCATCAGCTATCCTTAAGAGTGACATATCCTTAAAGACAGCAAGAGGAGAAGACAGAGGCCAAGTGCACCTTCGTGAGCAGGGAATCTTCCATCACCCAGCTGTAGCAGCATCCCAAGCTAGGCACCTTGACTGTAACTTGGGAGACAGACAGGCAGTGTCCAGTGCAAGACCCACCATCGTTCCTTACCCTCCATTAATGCCAACAAACTGAAGGTTCTTCTTTGTGCCATTTGAATCTTTGTTGCCATCTTTCTTCTTCATGATGGACTTCAATGTATTTTCATTATTTGTCCCTACTGTGAAAACGTGAAGGTGAGCAGAATGAACGTGAACCCTTACCAAACAAATACGTAATCTTTCCTCCTGTACCATCATTTTTTTTCTCCCGTACAATGGGTATTCAGAAAGTTCATGGAAAACACATTTTATGAAAAAAGCATGTTTGGGTTTCAAATTTTTTTCACCAACATAAACTTATCTTTCACTTGCATTTTCTATGAACTTATTGAAGTTCCCTCACATGTAAATGTAGATCTTGGCATCTATCTATGAGAAAATCGCACAAAATCCACTGGAAAAGTGTGCGCATGCAAAGGAAGTAATCCACTGTTCCACTAATAACATTCTCTAAATAGGAAAGAAAATCTACTGGTACTTCCAGAAATAACAAAACCAGTGACAACTGGTATTTCTATCAGGCTCCACTGTTTACAGAGTGATGCTGTATCTCATCTGATCCCCAAAACCACTTAGGCACCAAGATAATGATTATTACTGTTACTCTGTTTTCTTCAATTGAGGTAACCTGGGGAAAACATACGCCTGCTGGAATGTGACAGCATGAAATGCTATTTAAAATAGAACACAATCTGCAATATCAGATATATTTCCTGAGGGGCGCTGAGGTGGGTCCTTTGGCAATCTTTAAAGACAGTCTAGGCCTACTTTCCTAATAGGTACAATCTTTCTTTCCAGGTCAACTTATTAGGCACACTGATATTAAACTGGAATGCTGGCCACTGGTCCTAGATTCCTGATGAGGGGGACTGTGAGAGAGTTGTTTACCGTAGAGGCCAGCAGCTATCTGATCATCTGTCAGGTTCACGGGCGATGATGAACTTTCCTGAGCGGGGAAGGCAACCCGGCTGCTGATGGGCCTCCCTTCTGTGGTCTCCACCTCCTGGTCCGTCTGGGACGTCAGGTGTCCTCCTGACACAAGGCCTCTGCACTTACAGGTGCATTCCAAGGTATTTCCTGTGAACAAGGAAGGGTATAGAGTGTGTGATGCAAGGATGCAACAAGATAGACTTAAAAACTGGGCTTTTTAGTGCCTTGTAGCTCATCATTTTCTCAAGTGGTTTCCTCCTGTGTTTGCTTTCTGGAGGAGTGGCAGCCACTGCACAAGCCACTTAAACCCAGGCCCCCAAGGCCGCCTCTGACTCTCAGCCCTTCTTCCAAAGACCACATCTGGATCTGCCAGGCTTCTCGTTTGAACTCCACGGACTCCCCCGGCTTTTCTGTTTCCCTGGCCCTGCGTGCCCACTCAGCTCCAATGCCACAGTTACTGCGTCTACAACAAAACCTACCACCACCTAGAAAGAGCCAGAAACACAGCCCAGACTGCTTAGGCACAGATTCTGAACCACCCAGAAACTGGCACCAGCTGACCTGTCCAGCTGCACTACTTCAGTGTTCTCATGGTCCTGACTGGGACAGCACTGTCACGGCACATGGGACCACAGGGCTCTTGCACCTACCAGGCTTGTCTCCCCATGGCCAGGCCCTGTCAGTCAAATCACTGTCAGCAGAGCTGGCCAGCACCCTCTCAGCCTGCCTTTCATAACCTCTCCCGGTTTTGGTAATACAAGGTACATGACTATAGCTGTTTTCAGGGCATGCAGTAGCTGAGGTCAACTTTGCTCTGCTCACATCTGCTGAAGTGCACCTGCTTCTGTCAGACACTTATCTGTTCACTGAGTGATGCAGAAAATTAGGTTCAATAATACTGTTATTAATGTTGCTGGCATGGAAAGAAGTTTACAATATATGGTTAAATAAAAAAGATAATAAAATGTCATGTACAGTGTGACCCTATTAAAATACATTAATGTACAGTACAGACACAAATAGGAGAAAAGTTTTATCTAGAAGACTTTACTTACCAAAATTAAGCAGCTATGGTGATCCTAATTTTCCCCTGTATTTGCCATTGCTTCTAAAATGAATACGGATTAAGTGCTCTCAAATATCACTGTTATGGGGCCAGCGCTAGGGTGCAGCGGGTAAAGCCATCACTTGCGATGCCTGCAACCCATATCGGCACAAGTTTGTGTCCTGGCAGCTCCACTTTCGATCCAGCTTCCTACCAACTGCCTAGGAAAAGCAGTGGAAGATGGCCCACATGTTTGGGACCCTACACCCATGTAAGAGACCCAGATGAAGCTCCTGGTTCCTGGCTTTAGCTGGGCTCAGCTATGGCCATCTGGGAAGTCAATGAGCATATGAAAGATCTCTCTTTCTCTGTCTCTCCCTCTCTTTCTGTAACTCTTTAAAATACATAATTTTTTTTTTAAATCACTCTTAGAACAATTATATGACTCAGTAATTTGATCTCCAAAAATTTCATCCTAAAGATATGCAGGGATGGTCATTGTTTCCATATTTGAAACAATGAAAAGAGGAACACATCATAGTCTGCCCCAAGAAATTGGTAAATAAGCTTTCATACATTTACTTGAAAGAACCGCATGCAGTAATTAGAAATGTTAGTGTAGGGGTAGGCACCTGGCCCAGCTGTTACAATGCCTGTCAGGACTTTTGCGCCCCACGTAAGGATATCTGAGTTCGATACCCAGCTCTGGCTCCAGATTCCAGCTTGCTGCTATTGTAGACACTGGGAGGCAGCGGTGATGGCGCAGACAGTTGCATTGCTGCCACACACATAGGAGACCCTGGGCTAAGTTCTTGCTTCTCAGTTTTGACCCAGCCCAGTTCTGGCCACTGCCAGCATTTCAGGAGTGCACCAACAAATGGAAACTCTGTCTCTAATCGCCTCTCAAAAAATAAACAAAAGATTATTTATTATGCTCATCACACATCTAGTCAGCGTTTAGATTTTTCTAACAGTCTGGGAACAAGTCACACATTTCTACTGGCTGCTATGGTTTTTGACTCTTGTGATACATGGGTACTCTTTCCTTTGCAAACATGGCTTTTAAAAGTACTTTTTATAAAAGATTTATTGATTTGGAAGGCAGGGTTACAGAGAGGGAGATACAGAGAGCGAGACTGTTCATCTGCTTGTTTACTCTTCAAATTGCCACAACAGCCAGGGCTGGGCCAGGCTGAAGCCAAGAGACTGGAAATCTATTCAGGTCTCCCAACGCGGGTGGCAGGAGCCTAGGTACTTGGGCCATTCCCTGCTGCTTTCCCAAGTGCATTAGCGGGAAGCAGCTGGAACACAAACCAGTGCCCGTATGGGATGCTGGTGTTGCAGGCAGCAGCTTAACCTGCTTCACCACAATGCTGGCCCCAGAAGTACTTTTATGCCTTTTTTTTTCTTTCTTTTTTTTTTTTGACAGGCAGAGTGGACAGTGAGAGAGAGAGACAGAGAGAAAGGTCTTCCTTTGCCATTGGTTCACCCTCCAATGGCCGCCGCAGCCGGTGCACCCCGCTGATCTGGAGCCAGGAGCCAGGTGCTTCTCCTGGTCTCCCATGGGGTGCAGGGCCCAAGCACTTGGGCCATCCTCCACTGCACTCCCTGGCCACAGCAGAGAGCTGGCCTGGGAGAGGGGCAACCGGGAAAGAATCTGGCGCCCCGACCGGGACTAGAACCTGGTGTGCCGGCGCTGCAAGGTGGAGGATTAGCCTAGTGAGCTGCGGCGCCGGCCTTTTTATGTTCAAGTATAATCTGTATCCTCTAAAATGCAGACTTTCCAGTGCAGGTCAGATCATCTGTCCCCCACCCCCCAAGAGGCACTGATGCTGTGCTTGCTGTGCCCATGGCTTAGGTTTGTGAACTGGGACGCCGTAAAGTTTCTCCAGTCAGGGTGGAGGCATTCGAGGGTCCTTCAGAATGCATGTGGACGCTTCCCCTGGCCCGGGGAGTTTCACTGCTCAGCTACTACCCTCCCCTATGTGCAGAGTGGTGCTGTGACTTCACGAATCCCAGTCTGTGTCTGCATCTTCGGATAGTCCCCCTTCGCCAATTAAATCCCACCCCCTACTCTTCTCCAGGCTCAGCCACATTCCATGGCTCTTTCCCCTTGAGTCTTTGTCCCGGGTACCACAGCACAGGGGTCTCTTCTCCAGCACTGTCCCACAGCACTCACTGTCCAGACTAAACTGTGTGCTGCCATCTCTTGGCTCAGCTTCCCTGGTGTCTCCCGGATGGAGGGCAGCTCCCGGAGTTCCTTCCTCCAGGGCCAGGTGACAGAACGCCATGCATGAGTGCCCAGGGAACTCAGGGGAAACTCAGGCAGAGTCTGCTGAGCTAGCTGCAAAGGCGGAGCCCATCAGAAAGCATCAAAGTAGCTCTCCCTCACCAAGCCAGAGGGAATCTGTCAGCAGCACCGCCAGACAATCTTTTCTGGATGGTTTCTAATTCCGGCTGGGCTTGGATGGCACCGAAACAACTGTCTGAACGCGGTAAGAACCCATCTGCAGCTATGGCACCGCAGAGGACGCCTGCACCGGCCTACGAGCCTAACAAGTGAGCACTGCCTTCACACAAAGCAAAGGAAGGGTGCAGCCGAGAAAGACAAAAACCAGGGGCCAACAAGCAAACGCTGGCTCCCCATCAGAATGCCCTGAATTGGGTGGCAAGTTTTAAAAACACTGGTTCAAAATGAACTGTCCACAACTAGGCTTTGAAACCTCTTTTCGGCAGGCTCCACAGCTCAGTAGGCACCGGCACACCGGGTTCTAGTCCTGGTCGGGGTGCCGGATTCTGTCCTGGTTGCCCCTCTTCCAGGCCAGCTCTCTGCTGTAGGCCGGGAGTGCAGTGGAGGATGGCCCAAGTGCTTGGGCCCTGCACTCCATGGGGAGACCAGGATAAGCACCTGGCTCCTGGTTTCGGATCAGCGCGGTGCGCCGGCCGCAGCGCGCCAGCCGTGGCGGCCATTGGAGGGTGAACCAACAGCAAAAGGAAGACCTTTCTCTCTGTCTCTCTCTCAGTGTCCACTTTGCCTGTCAAAAACAAACAAACACACAGACACCAGAAACCTTTTCAGGCAATTCCATCATGCAGCCAAGGTTGAGACCGCTGAATTAAATTAACCAAAATAAAACCTACTGCTGAAAATCAAAGGGTTTAGACTCCCCTCTGACTCCAACTCATCTACCTGGATCCACATGAATTCCTAGGAATTATTGGGAATTTAATTAACAGCCCCGGGCGTTAAATGCTGTCCAAATAGGGAGAACCCAACAGGAGTAATTCCACACCGCCTTCGGAACTCTGTCACTCTGGCCTATCTGCTTCACGTTCCTACCGGGGCCACAGGTCCCACAGGTGCAGTGGGGAGTTAGTCACGGTGGAGCAGGCCACTGTGGGCAGTCTTCTGTCATTAACTCGGACTTTCAATGGTCATAAATATCCATATAGCGTGAGCCTCGTTTTACAACTTGGCCAGATTGGTGCTGACTGGAAAACAGCCAGCGACAGAAATCGCAGTGTTCCGGAAACTAAGGAGCACCTCTGATGCATTAATTCCAATTCTCAAGTATGCTCCGAATTTAACATGCGCTCAGAACAGCTAAGGCAAACGGTACGGAAAAATAACTAACTTAATTATGTCCTTGATTTTAGGCACCTTAAAAGCAAACTGTTTTATAAGCAAGATAATCTGATGTAAACTAGAGCAGGAAGAGTTGCAAGACCCCCCTTCCTGGTTCCCTCAGTGACACTTAGACACTTATTCATATAGAATAGGCAGTAGTAGTTGTCATGTAGCAGTGGGTTTCAAAACTTGCTAGAAAAGAAGTTCCCGAAAATGGATTTTAAGGGGCTGGTGCTATGGTGCTGTGGGTTAAGCCACGGTCTGCAGTGCCGGCATCCCATATATGGGTGCAGGTTCAAGCCTCGGCTGTTCCACTTCTGATCCAGCTCCCTGCTAATGCACCTGAGAAAGCAATGGAAGACGGTTCAAATCCTTGGGTCTTTGCACCCACATGGGAGACCAGAAAAAAACTCCTGGCTTCAGCCTGGCCCCGCCCTGGTCATTGTGGCCGTTTGGAGAATGCCATCTGGAGAA